AACTACTTCACAGTTAGGGCGGCTAGGAGCTGGAACCAACTTCCAAGGGAAGTGGTGCTGGCCCCTACCCTGGGGGTCTTTAAGAAGAGGCTGGATGCCTACCTGGCTGGACTCATTTGAGTCCCGTTTCTCTTTTTGGGGTTTTTTGTTGTTCTCCCGCCCTGGCGGGGGGTCGGGCTAGAAGACCTACTCGGTCCCTTCCGACCCTTAATCTATGAATCTATGACTTGCAGTGCTACAAAAAACCCTCCCCAACCCCCCCCCAGCCATTAAACTGAAATGACTGTCATTACCAAAAAGGACTGTGCTTTGTGTCTGTTTAAAAATTCTTTTACTTATGTTTTCTAAACACGGAGCCTTCAGTTGACTTGCTGAATCTCCAGTTGGCTGTGCCAGTTTTCTAAATAAAACAAATATAGAACTGTAGCTAAAACAAACTGTTCCTGCGAGCAGGATCTGGCCCAAGTCCATCAAAATCAATAGATCTGTCTTCTTTGGCTACTAGATCAGTTTCTGAATAAAACTGCCCCACTTACCATGTGGATATGCTATGGATGTGGCACAAGTTTTGGAAGTGGCAGCAGCCATCATCATTCCAACGAAGTCTGAAGCTTCTTTCACACATTCATCCTCATTGTCCATGCTAGAAGCAGTCTTATATTCCAGTAGTTTTTGCTTAATACTTTCGTAAATAACAAAATGAATAACAGTCTCAGAAATGCCTGCATAGGATGCTGACATTCCTCTGTAAAAGCCTTTAATGCCATCTGACTGATAGACTTTTCTGACACATTCAAAAGCACTCATTCGCTTTTCCCCACGATTCCTGAAAAAAAACAAAACAACCCAAAACATTGAGCAGGGTCCACAATCAGCATTTTTGGTTACAAATATTATTTCTGAATTGACAAGGGGCCCTAGGACACAGTTCTCAAACAAATGCTGAAGCTCCCAATTAAAAGCCACATTATAATTTTAATTTATTTCAAAACAATGTCTGCATGAATACTTTGCTTATCTGGAACCAAAATATGTACTGTAACTTAAAAGAACCAGGGAATTTCATATCTCGAGCCCCCCTTTTAAGGTTAAAAAAAGGCTGAACAGAACAACAGTCAAGATGTGCAAATGTGTGATCATTACAAAATGGAAACTAAAGAACTGAAATCTAGGATATCTACAGTGGGCACAACAGATACTTGAAGTCCAGAAGGAGTAAACAAACTAAATTAAATAACGAGTTATTTGTATGTTAATCCCACTAAGCCACATCTGATGCTAAATGAACATGCTCACTGGGTCAAGTGCCACTTCTATGAACAGCACAGAAACAGAACGTTTTAGCCCTCAACACTGCCAGATTAAGTGAACAAATAAACTTAATATATTAGAAAACAGCATACCATAATAGGATGTATATTATTATGTCACAGATAATATCAGTTAATACTGAGTTAACAAAGTATTCTAGCTGTCCACCTTGATATTTCAAAAGGTATAGCTCCAACATGCTTAACATGGAATTGTACAGACTGGTTCTGAACCTGCAACTGGTTTGCTATGCTGCATAAATGCTCATAGATCCCTGAATTATACACAGGTTCTGCCACCAGAGGTCCTGTGCAAGAAAGAACAGATTACAGGTTTCCCTCGATTTATGTGATACATGCATTCCTGGAGAATGGCGCATATGGTGAATTTGCATAAAGTGAACATATCCTAGTTTAGAATGGAACAGATAGGGATATGTTCCCATGGTGGTGAGGGAGGGAGGGAGTAAGGCTGTGATTAGGGGACGGGTACAGCGCAGCCGGTTGGCAGCTTCTAGGGCTACAGCAGGCAGTGGGGTTGGGGGGGGTGGTGCAGCTGTTGCTGCTACATGCCCCTCCGGGAATGCTGCAGGCTGTACCAGGTTGTTTCCGGGGGGGGGTGCAGACCCCCAGATCTGCACATGCGACAACAGCAAGCTGCTGCTACAGGCTGGGGCCTGCAAATTTTGAGGCTGCAGCAGCCCCTCCCCCTGCCCCAGCCTCCTGTCCACCTAGCACTGGGGAGAGCCCAGTGGTGCTGCTGGCCCCAACCTGCAGGGGCAGCCTGCTGCTGTCCCATGTGCAGATCTGGGGGCCCACACCACCCCGAGAAAAGCCCAGCACAGCCCCACAGCGCTCCTGGGGAGGCATATAACAGCAAGAGCTTTGTCCCCCCCCCCCCATCCCACTGACAGGGTGAATTCATTATTGGGAGTAAGTTAGGACTCCCTCATGGACCACAGCAGATAATTTTAACACAGTCTTACATCCTTTTAACAACTGTAATGCCATATCAGTCACTGCTGGACAAGTCAGTCCTCTAAAGATGCTTATCCTCAAATGCATTCTCTGGCTGTCTGGAATATCTAGCACTTGCAATCTGTAATGCCTTTTGTATCATCATTCTGATAATCCTGAACTGAGCTTAGATATCTGAAGTGCTCCTGGTCACTTGATTTTAACTCCTATTTTTCCTTCAGCAAATCAGAGATTAATTCTTCCATGAAGGACCAGTTTGAAGGAAATGACAAACCTTTTTCCTTTGTCAGGGATTTTCTGTTTTCACAAACAATACCTGGTAATTTTCTCCATGTAGGTGAAGCAAGACAAAAGAACCATCTTTCCTCCTAAGGAAATCAAACTCCTCTTGCACCCTTATTCTTGGGGGTCACTGTCACCGGCAACCTAGCTTTCTTTTGGGTTGAAGACTACAAGTGTCCCTGGTATCAGGCATAATTAGACTGTCATAGGACAGACAGAGCTTAAAGCAGGGGCAGGGAATTATCTTTGGTGGAAAGCTGCTTACCGAGTTTTGGCAAGCCCCTGAGGGCTGCAAGGATAGCCCCGCCTCTTGACAGGTGCCCTGCACCCTGGTTGCCATTTTGGGACTGGAAGTCCCCTTAGCCCCTGACCTTTGCTACCAGAAGTCCTTCCCTTTGCCTCCTAGAAGTACTCCTTTCCTCAAGGGGGTTTGTCACCTTGGAACCAGAAAAATACTAGATTATATTCTAAAAATCAAACAAACATGTACTACAACATTAATTGCATTTCAAAAAATATTTTTGTCCTGATTTACATGTGTTTGCATAGTGTACATAGAGGTGATAGTATAGTAGCTTAAAATGAAGTCTTACTCTTTTATATTGTGGGGGGCTGCAGGGGTATGGGTGAGTTTGTGGGGGGTTTTCACTAACAAGGAATTTAGGGTGGGTTATGGTTGCTCCAAAAATTATGCTGCCAGGTAGAGAACCACAAAAGATATCCCAGGTGTAGGTGAAACCCCTGAGGGCACTGCTATTCAAAGATACCAGTTCTTTGTGCACAAGCAAAATAAACACAAAAAAAACAGGGATCCACATAGGCAAATATTTACAAAAATGGGTATCTACGTTAAAAATTCCATATTTTTCACGAGCCTTCCCAGCTTGATATTGATTTTCTTAATCGTCAGTTTCTTTAGGCTAATAGTCCTACCCGGTGGTAAAATGGTCCT